AGTGGACCATTTGTTACCATTGATGAACCTACACTGACAGATTGTTATCACCCAAAGTCCATGGTATACATCAGGGTTCATTCTTGGTGCTATACATTTTAGGGGTTTTGACAAATGTTTAATGACTGTACCATGTACCATTGTAGTATATTATAGGGAATAATTTCTATTATATGGAATAGTTTCATGTGCTCCGCCTATGCACCCTCCCCTTCCCCCTGGCCACCCCTTATCTTTTTACTGTCTTCATAGTTTGGCTTTTTCAGAATGTCATATAGTTTGACGGATTATTTTTTAATACTTGATAGACTTTTCACTTTTATGTTCTCATTTTCATTTTGTTTGTGCTTTCGTTTTCCTGTGCAGGAACCCAGAGCAACGTACTGCGAGGGAAACCATTCATCAGCGGGGGAGGTGCAGGTTTTATAACTGGCCTCAGTTTTCTAGAGCTGGACAATCCTGCTGGAAACAAAAGGCGATATTCTGACTGGGCAGAATCTGTGACTAATTTTCCTCAAGTCATAAAGCAAAAAGTATGTGATGCTTTGTTTAAAGCAGTGGGAAGCAGTCATGTTTATTTGCATTGGGAAAATGAGATTAAATCAAGGTGGTTAAACAGACAAGCTGTAATTAGCATTTTCTGTATCCCAATTATGTTTTGTATAGTAAAATGAATGCATACATAATAAGGAACAGGAGGTGTGTTATCTAGTATGTTCATATTTTAGTTGTAAAGGTTAAATGTCTTGTAAATCCCAAGAGAAATTAATGACTAAATTTGCATTTTTAACTTTTGACCTAAATGTGATTATGTTTTCCTTAGTCCCACATTCAGAGGAATTATAGATTCTTGCAAGAGGAAGGCATTAAGGCTTGCCAAGTATTCAGATGTTCAGATCACCTTTGCTCTTGTGGCCTTGGCTCATGGACTCCTGAAGTCATGCAAATTAAGATAACATCATATTGGCTAGCAGAATTGTAGGATGTTTTATTGATACAGTCAGTTCTTTTATAATGCAACATATGTGTTTCTAAAAATCACTGAGCTATGCAAAATTGCACAATAAAGACCCGTAACCCCATTTTTCCCACAGGGTTTATGGGAAAAATAGGGTTATAGATGCAGTAGCACTCAAAAATATTATCTGTGACATTGTCTCATAAAAAAAAGATAGGCACTGATAAATACAGTAGCATGGCTTTATATATGTTAA